TTTTTTTTGTGGAACCGGGTATTGAACTCAGGCTCTTGTGTTTGCCAGGCAAGAGCTTATTCTACTGAGCCATCTTCCTGGCCCCATTATAAAGCTTAAAGATAGCAAAACCAGGAACTCTTACCACCAGGGATCACGCTCTTAACGAGGAGTCTACAAACACTGTTAGCAAAGGGTCCAAAGAGTCAGTATGTCTGCTTTGGGGACTAGATGATTTTTGCCAACCTATTCAACTTGGCCACTGTAGAGGAAAAGCAGCCATAGACAATACACACACAAATGAGTGTGGCTATGTGCAATAGAACTTCTTTTATAAAAAATAACCAGAAGGCCAGAGTTGTCACCAACTTATAGTTTGCTGATTGCTGACCCTACCCACCATATGCTGCTATTCACAAAAGAGTGGTCAATTTTTGAAATGTTATAATTACTCTCGAGGACTTATAGTAGTATATTTAATGAATGATACCTTAACTCTTGCTTTAAAAATAAAGCCAACATTCAAAACTGCATAATCTGAAGAAACAACTGTGCAAGAAAGTGATTCTTTTGATATAGCCATGATAAAAATCTATTTTCACAATACCCTCCCATTCAAATTTATGCAGATAGTGCAATGTATAACAGTATTTGGTAGTGTAGGTACAAGTAACCTAAATCTAAAATGTGAGGTTGTAAGTTTGAGTGGCCTATCTTTCTTAGTAAGGGTACCTATATTGGCTAAACCAGTAGGTCTCCAAATGCTGGTCTCATGATTTTTTTTCACACAGAACACTTTCCTAAATCCTATCAGGGGATGGAGAACAAATCAGTTACCCTACTAGGCTCTGAGGTAGACTAACATTTACAGTATCTAGCTTCTCTTGGGCAAAAATAAAAGCACAAAGGAAAATACAAATGTGCAAGAAAGCAAACATTTCCAGTTAATGTGCTTTATTAATCTAGGATGGAATCCAGTATCCAAATGACTATAACCCAGTTAATAATTATTTATGATACATAGTAGCTAATCCTTATGATCTCATTGCCATTGATGAATAGTCTGGAAAATTCCACCAGAACACTTCACTTACATAAAGCAGATCACCACTACCTTTAAAACGCCATCCAGATGTCAAAACCAGCTCATGGGGTCGGGGAGATCTCACAATTGATTGCCACATTTTGGACCTTTACAAAGTTGACTGTGTCAGTCTCAGAACATCCTCATGTAGAAAATGGTTTCACATTTCCAGGTTTAACAGTGAAGGAGGCCCCCTGCGATTAAATGCCGGTGACACCTTGTGTTGCAACAGCTAATGACACATATATTTTCTCATGAAATATCATCCTGACTTTAAATTAACGTTATGATCATGCCACGGGGCATGTTAACATTGCTCTGAGAAACAATTTTTATACGTTTCAATTCTCCATGTCTCACTGCGTAACTTAATGGGACATTACATTCTGCTTGCACCTTTGACGTGCAGTGGAAATATGTACATAATTTTATAGATTAATGATAATATAATGATGTTTTCCTTTGCTTAATGGACTGTACACTTGGTTATTTTCTTACTCTCTAATGTTGTTAATGTGCACTTTGGGTTTTATGAAATGGTGTTAACTAAAGCAGTAATCACAGTTTCGGGCAATGATTGCTGGGCCCAAAATAGAGGGGCAGCACAAGGTTTCCAGTTTGCTCCTCCTTTGGACTTTTTCTCTATTTTCTCATTTCTAAATGGAGTCAACCTTCTCCACCACAGCACCCACATATGGTTCAGTTAAGACCGAAGTGAGAAATACTATCCAAGTTCTTTAATAAAAGATTCAAATAATATGCAGCAAAAAGAAACAATAAGGATATGGTTATTTTTTGTTGCAAATGCAGGTCCCAAATTATCTGAAAAGAAAGTGAAATAAAGTCCGCAAGGTGTTAGGAACATTTTGGGGAGGAGATGTCTTAAATTACAAAATGAAGAACTTTCCAAAATGTGTCAGTTAGGACTCAGCAGAGAAGCAGAAGTCAGTCAAGGTTCTCCATGGAGGAAGAAGGGAGCCAAACTGGTTCAACAGATTATCCATTTGGTCTTCTTTAGGAATTCAGTCATGGTATATTGCATTCATTTTCATTTTACCGTGCCCCTCTTAAAATTATTACATTTTAAAGTTAACGTGATTTTTTTTTAAAGAATGTCATTTCAACAAAGACCAGTAAGGTTTTTTTTTCTCTCTCTCTGCACTGGATAAGGTGTCATATGTCAATATCCAATTACACCAATTTCTGCTACAACATAGTAAAAGTTGAACTCTTAGTCATTTAGCCTTTATTGAGAGTGATGTGTTTTGCTTCTCTTAATAATTGTGAAATACTTTGAATGTTATGGGGCATGTCTCAGAGAGGTAAAAAGAGATTAAGAATCTTAGGACAGGGCTGGGAAGATAGCTCAGTGGAATAAGTGCTTGCCTGGCAAGCACAAGGTCCTGAGTTCAATCCTGGTACTACAAAAAAATAATCTTAGGACATTGTAGAAAAAATTATTCAGATTTTTATTTTTGACCAGTGATAGAATATTTAGAATAACTGGATATCTGCCATTCAAAGATATTGTAAAAATCTTAAAATGTAATAGAAAACACAATCAGGAATGCTTTTGGTAATGCTGGATTGCATAATTTCTGGTAAGGAAAGGCATTACAGAGTGTAATTTAAATTTATGGCCTTTGGAGTAATCCTAAATTCAAATTCTGATGGTAGGATGAATTATGTATATATCTTCAGACAACGGTAGTAAAACAGGGTTGGGGGATAGCGCATCAGCATAAGCCCCTGCCTGGCAAGCACAAGGTCCTGAGGTAGATCCTCAGTATCTAATGATGATGATAATAATAATGATAATTACTGAATATTACATGCGAGGCCATATACTCAAGATTTAGAATGCATTTTTTTCTTTTACCAGATAAAACAGTCCTGGGAGGTGGAGTCTATTGTTATTCCTATGTGATAGATGAGAAACAGACACAGTGAGGACAAGGGATTTATCCTGCTAAATAAAAATCATTATTCCTGTGTGCCTTTGCAAGTGAGCTCAGAGACATGGAGAAGGACAGACACAGTGTCCATTGAAAATTTAAAGAAGGTCAAAAGGAGAAGTCTAGGGTTACACTGGCTGATATGATGTGGTAACCATGAGTAACACGTAGCTATTTAAATCTTTTAGCTTTAACTAAAATTAAATACAGATGCTGCTTCACTTTATTATGGAGTTACACGCTTATAACACCATGGCAAAATGAGAATACTGTGCCACTGTCCAGCATAATATGAGAGGATTCTATTGCACTTTGCTAGTCTAAGAAAAGATCAAAAATCAGAATTTAAACAGTAATTCCTACTAAATATATCTCACTTTTGTACCATATAAAGTCAAAGACTCTACAAGTCAACCATGCTATGTTGGGGACCATCTCTAAATTTAGAGTTTCTCAGTTTTAGCAGCCACAGTTCAAGCGCCCAATAGCCCATGTGACACATGGCTACCATGCGAAACAGAGCAGAACACTTCAGTCATTGCAGAAAGTACCAATGGTCAGAATTGAATGTGCAGTAATTTATGAGAGATAAAATAAAACAACAAAACATGAAGTTCAAATACACCGGGTCCCACCCACCATTCTGTGTTTAGGAGGGAAGAAGATAAGCACAGGTGTTGGGGTTTTGCCAAGTTTTCACTTAAAGAGAAGGAGCAGGAACAACAGGTGATCACGGTTTATGACCCCTGAGGACTACAGAATGGATTCACACACAGGTGCACTGCAGCTCTTTGTTTTCAGTGTCACTGTTGTGTCTCTCCAGGTATGCCATTGGCCTTGCCTATAAATCGGCCCCAAAGCACGAATGGATTGGGAAGAACTCTGCCTCCTGGGCCCTCTGCCGCTGCAACAATAACTGGGTGGTGAGACACAACAGCAAGGAAATCCCCATCGAGCCCGCCCCACATCTCCGGCGTGTTGGCATTCTGCTGGACTACGATAATGGCTCCATTGCCTTCTATGATGCTTTGAACTCCATCCACCTCTACACCTTTGATGTAGCATTTGCGCAGCCTGTGTGCCCCACCTTCACCGTGTGGAACAAGTGTTTGACGATTATAACTGGCCTTCCTATCCCAGACCACTTGGACTGCACAGAGCAGCTGCCCTGAGCATCTGGCCGCCAGAACTGCTTTCTGAGGAACAGCAAAGTTTGAGGCCGCTATTTAGGCAATGAAGAAATACAGGCTTCAAGAGTGTGATTAAATCTCCTCAGAAAGTGTACAGAAATCAGATAAAACAGGGCTCAAAATAGATTTCTTTTACTGTTTTATACTAAGGGCAGGCTTTAATAATTTCTTTAATTTTTTTTATATTTAGAGGAAAATCTATAGATTATTTATAAAAAGAATCGTAATCGATCACAACTGTTAGGAATTGGTTTTGCACATTAAGCAGCTCTTACAAGTTTTGCTTCATCACAGTCTATGGGGCTGCAAAAACAACAACACACAAACACCTTTTGTTGATTTGTATGTTTAATCACCTCCTCACATAGTACATACTGAGCCCATTTTAGGTCCTATCACTCTGACAGTGCATAACAGAATATGCAGCTGTTTAAAGATAAAAATAATTTTGAACTTAGTAAGGAAATAAACAGAATTTCTTGCTCTGGTTTACCTCAAAATGTTTTAACTATAATGTTAAAAAAACATGTACTGGATCAACTAGAATGGAGAGCAAGTGAGAGAGGATGGAAGTTGCTGACTATGGATCTTTACCTTCTGGTAGCTGATAGGATAATGTTGGAAAGAAAGGTTCTGGGACCTTTGCCCATGTTTCCCCACTTCTTGCAGGGCTAAAAACTCTGGGCTAACATTATGAATTAGATCACAATTAAAAATAGTCACTTTGAATCCTACAGATTAATTAAACTTCAGGCTGATTTGTGTTTTATCAGAAGTAGGATTTTGCTTCATGGCATAAGACTACTTCATTCTTCCTCCTAATAGTTTTCTTAGAGTGATGAACTTTTTTCACTACATTTAATAGTTGACCTATTCCCCCCTCCCCATGTCAAGTTTTCTTTTATCTCTGGGGCTAAGGAAATAAACATGTACTGTGATAAAAGACACACCACTTCGGGTTGATTTTGCTCTCTGAGACATCAGCACATGGCCCCAATCAGCACTACCACATTTAAATATAAATCACCGAAAATCACTTAATATTTATGAGTTAGCAATGACAAGGGACATTGCATCAAGTACTGCTCACTAGTATACATGCCTGGAAAATCATTATGATAAGTTATGATAAACATGTGTTTATTAAACATACCTGGAAAATCGTAGAAGTCCCTCTATAGTATAGTTGACCATAGACTTGTAATACGAAAAAAATTCAAACTCACTATTTTCACACAGGAACCTGCTAATAGAACTTGCTAATCAAAGAAATGTCAGATGAAATTCTTTACATGCTGATTCATCAAATTGTAATGGTCCCTAAACTAAGACTTTTTCCAGTGGTCCTTGGACTGGGACTTAGGCATTGGTTCTGTCTTGACCACGTGTGTGACTTCTATAAATGATTTCAATTGCTAAAGTATTTATCTGGGCTACTCAGGCAGGCATTGACTAAACAGTTGGTTAGATATAGACCTGTTTTTCATAATTTTTAAGCCAGATCAATCAGTTCTTTCCCTGAAATAAATCAATAGGCCCATTGCTTCAGCATCACATGGCCAAAGCTGATATGATTGCCAGTCTGGACTCCAAGAAAGACCATGCTGGTCTCCTGGGTCTTTCTGTCTCTTCCTTATGAAATGCTCTCCTTTTTCTTAATGGATAGATTCTATATATTTCCTATATTATTTATACCCAGAGAAATATTTTGATAACTACTTAAGATAGTATCGCATCTAAAAATGAACATCTCAATGGAGAAAAATACTAATCATTCTCTGGCAACTTAATGTGATTTTTTTTTTACAATATGAAAGCTGTGTGTGTTTGCCTTCTCTGAATAAACCAAAAGGGTTGCCTCAGTAATTTTTACATACACTTTGGGTAACTGGATAATGGATATTTTAATGCACTTTGTACACTTACAGGTTCTAAATAAAAGGGTCTAAAGCTCAGTTTCTGAGTTTTTAAAATCAGTCTCCAGGTACCAATAAATGCTACAGTTTGCCTTATGATGCTAACATAAAGCATTTTACTAGAAGGACACTATTTCCATGAATATTATGTTTTTTAATATCAAGATGTTACTACTCAAGTTTTCAGTGCAAGCTGTGTAGGGTATGTTTGGCTATTTTTATAAGGACAAGACAGATTATGTTATAATTTTGTTGTGGAAGACTCACTCTTGGCTAACTTAAAATGTGGATGTAGCAGTTACTATTTCCAGGTTGTCTTATTTAGAGGAAGATGTGTATGTGGTGAAAGGCCGCAGTGTTTACTTTAATAACTGTAATGATGTAGAAAATATTCCCATGTGGATTTTTTTAAAGTCTAAAAAATATATGTTGTAAACATGTGCTGCAGTATAATTATGCATTCTCTTTAAATGGATTAGGGTCACAATGTTTTATTTTTCAAGGTCTTCACAGGAAGCATTTTGCTAAAGGGACAAAAGAGATGGCAGTGCCAAATAAATTAGCAGAACAAAATTGATGGAATGTCAACCAAGATTGCAAGGGCCAGCATCATGGCTGTGTGAGTAGCTCACTGGCTAGAGCCCTGGGCTCTGAAGGGCCCTGAGCTTGATTTGATGCTCTCCTCTCACTGTCATGAAATTCTTAACAACTTTCCAACAAGAGTCCTGCATTTTCACTCATAGTGGGCCCTGAGAGTTTTGCAGCCAGTCCTCCTAACGGAACTCAGAAACATGGTACCTCTTTTCCTAGTGGATAGAAATACATAAACCTGGATCCGAAGTTGAAAGTTGCTGGCCATATCATTCAAGTAGGAATTTAAAGGTGGATTAAGATGAGGGTGGGCCTAGCTGAACACTGTCTTTCCAGCTTTAAGTGAAAATGACTTCAATTACTGACTGCAAACACTGATGAAGTTTTCCGCTGGAGAGGAAGAAGCGGCTTGAGTATGGACGGGCTTATTATGGTACTGACATGCTGACCTTAAGCTTCTTTAGGAACTGGACTAGTGCCCTTCATTCAGCATGGAATTCCACCCCAGCTCCAGGCACATGGGCAATGCCTGCAGAGACTCATTCTGTATGCTCACGTTCATGTGTATTTGGTGTTGGAAACTGACAGTTTGTCTTCCTTGATAAAACATTAAAAAGCATACAAAGACAATGGTGATAGCAAGAGGAATTTCTTGAAAACAGTGCTTCTCATCCAGGGCTTGAGTTTGCCCCCAAGGAGATATTTGGCAATGTCTGGAATCAATTTTGGTTGTCAAAATCTGGGGATATAGTGATACTGGTATCTAGTGGGCAGAAGTCTGGGATGGTGTTACACACCCCATAGCTCATAGTGCAGTCCCCCACTACAGAGAGTTATCTGGCCCTAATTGTAGGGTATATATTCAAACACTCTTGGTTGTTGGATTTTTGTAAATGTAAAATTCTCATAAATGCCTTTTACTCTTTTAGTGAATGATTCTGTGCCCAATAAAGCAAAAGGCAAGAAATAAAAAGCAGGACTCATGAAAATCTTCACTGTAGTGGCTCCTTCATTTGCAAGAATATTTATAAAACACTTATGAAAATCTAAAATCTGTGGAGTAAGCCAGACCTGTGCACAGGAGAGTCACTGAGAGGTATCATGAGCTGGATGAGCTTAGTTTGGAAGTGAGAAGCTGGCTTTCTTTATGCCTCCTTGCGCCTAGATAAATTCAACCCCTGATACTGGAGTCACACTGTGAGACCCTCAGTCCAAACTATTGTCTTGATTGCTGTTGCTTCCTGTTTCAAAATAAAATCCTTTTTGTGACACCAAACTAAGTGCCTACCTATGTCTGTAGCTTTTTCATCCTGTTTTCATATTTAAAGTTTTCACAATCACGTCTTCAGGTTCTGCTCATTTTCCATACTATTTTGTTATACACAGTTCATTTCTGTAACATCTGAAGCTGTCTGATATCGACTATCACCCCTCTCACACTACAGTTATTTTGGAAGATGAAAAATATTCCACAAGAAATTTTTAAATACGTGATAGGAAAACAAAGAGTGGAAGCCTAGAGCAAAGGTCACTGATGTCAAGTTATAGTGGGATGAAGGAAGGTGAGTAATGGCTAACAAACATGGCAGAAGTAGTGGGCTTTCAGCTCGTTCCAGGATGATCTCAGCAGCTACTCAATGACTCCAGATCCAAGCCCACCCCACAATCCATAGAGCCTGACACTTGGGGTTTAGAGGTGTGAACCCTTTTGGTCTAGGATGGTTCTATGTGTTTTCCACAAGCGTGCAGAATCAGGACTGCAGCCAGCCTGTTCAGATCCAGGCCAGCTGGCCTAAAGCTCTGTGTGTAGGACCAAAGGATCTTAACTGCTAATAAGCAACTGAAAGAGATTCTGATACTAGGGATAGTTTGTGAGGTACTCCTTAGAGCTTTTTCCCAACCCACGTCCTACATAAAATGCAATTACAGTTTTAAATGTGTTTGCAAGGCAACATGGCTTAGAGGAAGTGCGATGTAATCCAAGGTAATCTTCCACCTGACTTTGCATAGAATTGCCTTTCTATCCTGTTGATTCCTGGACCCCATCCTAAAAGATCAGGGATGAGGTTGGGAGTATGATCCATCAACCTCTACTTTTTTCTTGAAGGAAATGAGTCTGAAGGGCATCTAAGATTAGCAGCTGGGAAGGGGACATTTTAAGAGGGCAGGTGGTGAATTGAATTTGCAGGCTATATTCTCTCCGTGGCAACTACTCCTGTGTGGATATAGAGAGAAACAAGCCATACAGAATATGTAAATAGTTGTGGTTGTGTTTCAATAAAACTTTATTTATAAGAACAGGCATTAGGCTGGTCTTGGCTTCTGGGCTATATTTTACTGACCCTGCTAAGGTAGACATTGAATTAGAACAGTGATATTTAGAAAACTCCTTGTTCACAGTGACTCACTTGTGTCCTTTCATGCCTCATTGAGCTCTAAGAGCCCTTTCCAACATTGAACTATGTCGGTTCTGTCAAACCGCAGAACTTGTGGAGAGTTATGGAGTGCTTAACTTAGGACCACTCAGTGGGTATTAGATCTGTTCACTCAATAGACTAGGGTGGAGAATGCCAGGCTCTTAAGATTAACTTTATTTCTTCCATAACTTTAACTCAAATCAGCCCCTCTCACAAGTGACAGTTACATAAAATATATACTTTTTGATAAGCATGTTAAAGTACATTTAATTTGAAGTTTTGAAACTGAACAGTCACAGCTATTAAAGCTAGCTTGAAGGGTATGTCATATACTGCATAGCGTGGCCCACATCTCACCATTTTAAAATATACAAAAAATATGCTGAAGAAGGTGGTTGCTTGTGATTATACTAGGAGGACCAAAAGGGAGACATGTAGAACTAGCAAAATCCCTTTCTCTTGAGTATCTTTTTCACTATAGGATGAACATTTAAGAATGTAAAATCAAATTGAGTTTTAAAAAACCTTGTAGCTCTTAAAGTCCTTTCCAACACTGAAATATATCAATTCTGTCAAACAACAAAATTTGTGGAGAGTTATGGGGTGCTTCAGCTTGTAGCTATTCAAGCTCAGTACAGGCAACTTATGAAAGGAATTAAGGTCTCTCTTTAAGTTCTTTTCAACCATGTCCTAAGAGAATTATTAAGGCATGATTTAATAGCAACCATCACAATTAATGCCTAAATATGTCATGGCCAAAAACCAATTACTAATTAAGGAGTGGCACAGGAAAATGACTTAATGAACATTGGTTCTCTTATACAGTCTACTTATTCTCAAAGCTGAATTTTGATTACAGTCATTAAAAGCTGTTCAATTTCACTAAAGCCTTTCAAATAATAATGCTGATCTTCCCCCCCATTAATCTTATTCTCCCTCAAACTTCTGCCCTCTCACACATCCTACGCTCTGCTCAGCATCTCAAAGGGCTGTTCACACCAGCTAGTTTGGATTTTTGCACCCTCTGTTGTAACTTCCCATGTTTCAATGGGAGTTCAGTGCTTTGTTTCACGAAACAGTGCTCACTGACACTAAAAATAGTGCCCACATCAGTAAGATCCAAACATCCTTAGATATTTGAATGACTTCTGCTAGACATGCAGCCACCTTTTGAGACATTGAACAACTCAGTTATTTTTTAATTCTTCCTTAAACATCACCATCCACGTCATCACTTCAGTAATAAGCTTGCACAGAACGCTCCTAAATTCAAAGCTCTATGTCTAATTTCTCCACTGAGCTTAATTATATATTTAAATTAATTTTATTGAGAAAAATAGCAATGAGACAGTTTCAAAACAGGTTAGTAGGACAGTTACAATAATTAAAGCATTGCATATTGTTGTCTGTGTAGTAGTTATTCATAGTACAAGATGCAGACATGATATCTTCTCTAAACACTATTGGTACAAATATTTCTTGTTCTAAGAGAAGGTAGCTGTATATCTAACCTAACTAATTTGTATATGCAGATATATATTTTTTTCACTACAAACTGGTCCTTCATTTATATCACCCTTTTTTGTTTAGTTTTCTCAGAGAAGGGAATTCCATTGTTATTCAAATATTGTAGGTGTGAACTCAGCAAAATAATCCAATATAGTCCAGTAGTCCATAATAGTAGTGGGTTATCCACAAGACTGGCAATATCAGAAATTGTTGACTTGAGCCTTGTACAACTCAGCATATTAATATGGATCTACTTTTTATACCTCATTTTTATACATTTCTGCTGGATGGTTAAGACCAAGATGAAGCAAGACTTATATAACAAGAAATGTAACTTTTGTATCTGACAAGGTCAGTCAAATCCCCTCAGGATTTACCCTGAAACCATGTACAGCAGTTTGGAGATCTCTTGTCAGTGCCAGCCATCTAGAAGAGTCACAGCCATTGCTTGACCATTTTGCTCTCTGTGAAAGCCAGAAAGAATGTTTTTTCTCTAGGTGACTCTCCTTAGGCACACTCTACATTGTCGATCACTTTAGTCTGTGGCCCCATAATCTCGTTGAACAGAAAACTTGGGACACCACTGAGCTATAGGATGTTACAGTACAGGTTTTCTTATGTCCTGAGTCCTCACTAACCTTGAAGGGCTAGGGCCAAAATGTTGGCTGTCCTTGTAGCCCTTCTTTTTCTCTAATGTTTTGGTCTGCAAACTTCAGTTGTTAACCCTCCAGAAGAGAGGTTTAATGATATTATTACTCTACAACATAGGCAGTTGAGCTTAACATCACTATGTGTCTGAATAACAAATGCCTTAGACATAACATGGAACAGGTATTTTTGAACACTCATTAATATGCTAAACTCTAAATCCCTATCAAATGTGAAAAAGCAGAAAATTTAAAAAATAATAATAATTAAATAAACAATTACACATTTTTACACAGAAATTTAGAAATCTATCCATATACAAAATTGTAGCAGGCCAGTCCTATTGTTGCAGGCAGCTGAGTTAAATAGAAATATTATAGGCAGTCAGACAGCCAGGCTCTCAAAGGAGACACCACAGAAGACAAGATATTTTGCAACTCTGGGAGCGATGGATATTCCCGCCATGGGCCAGACCTAAAGACCAAAGATTAAGCAAATACTGACCTCCCTAAAGATTGGCATCTGAAATTGATCATCACCCTGAGGGAGCCAGATGAATCATTAATCCATCCTACTATGGGATGGCTACCAGATAAAGTCCTGTTTTACATTCATGCCTGCTTGCTACGTGACTCACTTCCCCATTTGTTCCTGAACTTAATGAATTTTACCTGAGCAATAGTGCTTGTAATCCCATTTGGTGACCATAGTTTTGTCCCACCCCACAACCACTTAAGTGAATTCCCATGTTCTTCACCACCTTAGACCCACCTCACTGCATTATTTTACTCTATAAAAGTCCCCGGAAGAGACAATTTCCTGGGGACTACCCACTCAGGCCCCTCTCCTGTCGCTCTCTCAGACAGGAGCTTTCTTTCCCTCAATAAATATATCCTGCTCATAACCTCCATTTGTTCCTAAAATTCATTCTTCAGTTTTAGAGAACATGAACTCATGCAGGTCAGGTTGGGAGATCATTTTTCCCCTATGTCATTTGGAGGTCCCCTGTATTACTTGGAGGTCACCCACCCGAGATCAGTTTTTCTCCCTCTATCACTATTACATTTTTTCTTGTCTCTTGGTTTCTTTCATCACCTTTTTTTAACACAAACATTTACTTGAGAGAGAGTATAGCAGTAATTGATATGACATTAGAAGCAGTACACAGGCATTCCAAGCATGACCCTAGAATTATGCATTGCTATCCTCAGTGCAGTAGCTTACTTCACAGGTATCATCATATATAGTTAGTCAGGGTGAGAATCCTACCAATTACCTGCTAATTTCAAAAGCATGCTGCAGATTCTCAGGACCATTGCCTTAACCATCTTCAGTATATAAATGTATGCTTTTGCCCCTGCCATGTTTCCTAGCTTTTCTCCTTATCCTCTCTTCATTGTTTAATCCCTAAGTTCTTGCTTTTCATTTAGTTATGTTATTTCTTTCAATTTTTATTTCTTCATTTGAGTTTTTACAGTAGGGTCACTACATGATATTTACACATGTGGGTCTGGTTTAATTCACTTATGAGTATATCTTTAAGTTGCATCCACTTATATATGAAGGTTTTGAGTTTATCATTCTTTATAGTTGAGTAATATTCTATTGTATAAAAACACCACGTTTTTTTCATCCATTGCTCAGGTGACTGGCATTTTGCTTATTTACAAGATTTGGCTATCACCAATTGTGCTGC